GAACTCTTTCTATGATACATACATTATTTAATTCTGAATGCAAGATATGCTTAATAGAAAACCAGAAAATACAGATAAGCAAAAGGAAAAAAAAAAAAGGACATGAGAACATCTAGGATCCCACCAATCCAGAACCCACCACTCTTACTTTCTTGACATGTAATCATCTATCAGTTCCCTTTCTGTATATTCCTTTAATGAGAGAAACTAGACATTTTGAAAGCAAGGTTATTGACAATTTGTCTTCCTTCCTTCCTTCCTTCTTTCCTTCCTTCCTTCCTTCCTTCCTTCCTTCCTTCCTTCCTTCCTTCCTTCCTTCCTTTCTCTCTCTTTTTGGTATGTGTATTCCTTGTTTATGTTCTTAGCCAGTTTTCCATTAGAATCTTTTTTCTTATTGATTGGTAAGAACTCTATAAGTATGTAAATATATTAACCTTTTGTAGATCATCTGTGTTGCACATTATTTTCCCCAGTTTCTCAAGTGCCTTTTAATTTTACTTATCTTTTTTATATTTGAAATCTTTTTTATATTTGAAACTCAAGAGCATTAACTGTTATGTAATCAGACTCTGTTATCTTTTTTTGGATTAGGCTATTGGTGTCGTCCTTAATAAGTCATTAATTCTATAATTGTGCAAATTATCCTTATTTTTTCAGTGCCTTGGAGATTTCAGATTTTACGTTGATTTGTTACTTTTAAAATTAGTTTTTACTTTTATTAAAGTAATATGGCCCAAAATGTCAAACTATACTATAACATTTACAGTAGGGTGGGAGGAGCAATCTCTAATCTATTCCCCAGAGGCAACCATCTTGAACTCTTTTTTTTTTTTTGAGTTGGAGTCTCACTCTGTCGCCCAGACTGGAGTGCAGTGGCCGCTCCCGGCCACCGCAGCCTCGACCTGCTGGGCTCCGGTGATCCTTCCGCCTCAGCCTTCCGAGTAGCCGGAATTACAGGCATGCGCTACCACGCCCGGCTGATTTTTTGATTTATTGTAGAGATGAGGTCTCGCTGCCCAGGCGGGTCTCGAACCCGCGGACTCATGCAATCCACTCACCTCAGCCTCCCAAAGGCGCGGGATTACAGGCTGAGCCACCGAGCCCGGCTCTTGAACTCTTAAATATTATGTTTAACTGTTGTTTGGCTTTATCAAATTTTGGACATTCTCTTTGACTTCCCATTAGATGAGATTTCTTATACTACCTCCTTCCTTTTGCATGCTCCTCCTCCCATATACTCAGTATGATTAAGATGTAGCATTTGTTTAAATCACCATTCAGAATTTATGTAATTTTAACTATTTATTGTTCGATTGCTTTTTTTCTTTGTACAATGCTTTATTTTTCATGTGAAATTTCTATTTGGCATTGAGATTTCTTCTCAAACACTCAAATCCATCTATAAGATCCTGGTTTCAATGCCTTTTATCTGTAATTATTTCTAACATCCAAATTCCTAAGATTGTCTGTTCATTGCATCTTCACTTAACTCAGGAGTTGTATTTTATTTAATTTATTATTTCCAGGAGTGAACATAATAGAACAGACCTATTTCTGAAGCAAATGGAAAGATT